ACAAATAAAACATCCTAAAATTTTTTTGAGCAAAGAACCAAGTAGAAATACATTTTTAATTATGAACTTGGGACAGGTCTAGTCAAAATCTCGTTTTTCACTTTTTTCCCTTCGAGGATAAATCCAAATACAGTAAAACTTTGTATGAGCATTCTAATCCTCAGGTCACACATTTCTGAATTATAAATTGACTAGGGTCGCCCATAGTCCAAAATTGAAAATGTATTTCCTACTTGGTTCTTTGCTCAAAAAAATTTTAAAATATTTTATTAGTATTTGTTTTAAGTACCAGAATGCTTATGCAAAGTTTCAATCCATTTGGATAAACCCTCGAAGAAAAAAGTGACAAAATTGATTTTGACTAGGGTCGCCCCTAGTCCAAAATTGAAAATGTATTTCCCACTTGGTTCTTTGCTCAAAAAAATTTAGAATGTTTTATTAGTATTTGTTTTAAGCACCAGAATATTTATGCAAAGTTTCAATCCATTTGGATAAACCCTCGAAGAAAAAAGTGACAAAATTGATTTTGACTAGGGTCGCCCCTAGTCCAAAATTGAAAATGTATTTCCTACTTGGTTCTTTGCTCAAAAAAATTTTAGGATGTTTTATTTGTATTTGTTTTTAGCATTAAAATATTTATGCAAAGTTTCAATCCATTTGGAAAAACCCTCGAAGAAAAAAGTGACAAAATTGATTTTGACTAGGGTCGCCCCTAGTCCAAAATTGAAAATGTATTTCCTACTTGGTTCTTTGCTCAAAAAAATTTTAGAATGTTTTATTAGTATTTGTTTTAAGAATCAGAATATTTATGCAAAGTTTCAATCCATTTGGATAAACCCTCGAAGAAAAGTGACAAAATTGATTTTGACTAGGGTCGCCCCTAGTCCAAAATTGAAAATGTATTTCCCACTTGGTTCTTTGCTCAAAAAAATTTAGAATGTTTTATTAGTATTTGTTTTAAGCACCAGAATATTTATGCAAAGTTTCAATCCATTTGGAAAAACCCTCGAAGAAAAAAGTGACAAAATTGATTTTGACTAGGGTCGCCCCTAGTCCAAAATTGAAAATGTATTTCCTACTTGGTTCTTTGCTCAAAAAAATTTTAGGATGTTTTATTTGTATTTGTTTTAAGTACCAGAATGTTTATGCAAAGTTTCAATCCATTTAAATAAACCCTCGAAGAAAAAAGTGACAAAATTGATTTTGACTAGGGTCGCCCCTAGTCCAAAATTGAAAATGTATTTCCTTCTTGGTTCTTTGCTCAAAAAAATTTTAGGATGTTTTATTTGTATTTGTTTTAAGCACTAGAATATTTATGCAAAGCTTCAATCCATTTGGATAAACCCTCGATGAAAAAAGTGACAAAATTGATTTTGACTAGGGTCGCCCCTAGTCCAAAATTAAAAATGTATTTCCTACTTGGTTCTTTGCTCAAAAAAAGTTTAGGATGTTTTATTTGTATTTGTTTTAAGCACTAGAATATTTATGCAAAGTTTCAATCCATTTGGAAAAACCCTCGAAAAAAAAAGTGACAAAATTGATTTTGACTAGAGTCGCCCCTAGTCCAAAATTAAAAATGTATTTCCTACTTGGTTCTTTGCTCAAAAAAAGTTTAGGATATTTTATTTGTATTTGTTTTAAGCACTAGAATATTTATGCAAAGTTTCAATCCATTTGGAAAAACCCTCGAAGAAAAAAGTGACAAAATTGATTTTTCCTACTTGGTTCTTTGCTTTATTTGTATTTGTTTTAAGCACTAGAATATTTATGCAAAGTTTTAATCCATTTGGAAAAACCCTCGAAGAAAAAAGTGACAAAATTGATTTTGACAAGAAAATTGATTTTGTATTTCCTACTTGGTTCTTTGCTCAAAAAAATTTTAGGATGTTTTATTTGTATTTGTTTTAAGCACTAGAATATTTATGCAAAGTTTCAATCCATTTAAAAAACCCTCGAAAAAAAAAGTGACAAAATTGATTTTGACTAGAGTCGCCCCTAGTCCAAAATTGAAAATGTATTTCCTTCTTGGTTCTTTGCTCAAAAAAATTTTAGAATGTTTTATTTGTATTTGTTTTAAGCACTAGAATATGTATGCAAAGTTTTAATCCATTTGGAAAAACCCTCGAAGAAAAAAGTGACAAAATTGATTTTGACTAGGGTCGCCCCTAGTCCAAAATTGAAAATGTATTTCCTACTTGGTTCTTTGCTCAAAAAAATTTTAAGATGTTTTATTTGTATTTGTTTTAAGCATTAAAATATTTATGCAAAGTTTCAATCCATTTGGAAAAACCCTCGAAGAAAAAAGTGACAAAATTGATTTTGACTAGGGTCGCCCCTAGTCCAAAATTGAAAATGTATTTCCTTCTTGGTTCTTTGCTCAAAAAAATTTTAGAATGTTTTATTTGTATTTGTTTTAAGCACTAGAATATGTATGCAAAGTTTTAATCCATTTAGAAAAACCCTCGAAGAAAAAAGTGACAAAATTGATTTTGACTAGGGTCGCCCCTAGTCCAAAATTGAAAATGTATTTCCTACTTGGTTCTTTGCTCAAAAAAATTTTAAGATGTTTTATTTGTATTTGTTTTAAGCATTAAAATATTTATGCAAAGTTTCAATCCATTTGGAAAAACCCTCGAAGAAAAAAGTGACAAAATTGATTTTGACTAGGGTCGCCCCTAGTCCAAAATTGAAAATGTATTTCCTTCTTGGTTCTTTGCTCAAAAAAATTTTAAGATGTTTTATTTGTATTTGTTTTAAACACCAGAATGTTTATGCAAAGTTTCAATCCATTTGGAAAAACCCTCGAAGAAAAAAGTGACAAAACTGATTTTGACTAGGGTCGCCCCTAATCCAAAATTGAAAATGTATTTCCTACTTGGTTCTTTGCTCAAAAAAATTTTAGGATGTTTTATTTGTATTTGCTTTAAGCACTTAAATATTTATGCAAAGTTTCAATCCATTTGGAAAAACCCTCGATGAAAAAAGTGACAAAATTGATTTTGACTAGGGTCGCCCCTAGTCCAAAATTGAAAATGTATTTCCTACTTGGTTCTTTGCTCAAAAAAATTTTAGGATCTTTTATTTGTATTTGCTTTAAGCACTAGAATATTTATGCAAAGTTTCAATCCATTTTGAAAAACCCTCGAAGAAAAAAGTGACAAAATTGATTTTGACTAGGGTCGCCCCTAGTCCAAAATTGAAAATGTATTTCCTTCTTGGTTCTTTGCTCAAAAAAATTTTAAGATGTTTTATTTGTATTTGTTTTAAACACCAGAATGTTTATGCAAAGTTTCAATCCATTTGGAAAAACCCTCGAAGAAAAAAGTGACAAAACTGATTTTGACTAGGGTCGCCCCTAATCCAAAATTGAAAATGTATTTCCTACTTGGTTCTTTGCTCAAAAAAATTTTAGGATGTTTTATTTGTATTTGTTTTAAGCACTTAAATATTTATGCAAAGTTTCAATCCATTTGGAAAAACCCTCGATGAAAAAAGTGACAAAATTGATTTTGACTAGGGTCGCCCCTAGTCCAAAATTGAAAATGTATTTCCTACTTGGTTCTTTGCTCAAAAAAATTTTAGGATCTTTTATTTGTATTTGCTTTAAGCACTAGAATATTTATGCAAAGTTTCAATCCATTTGGAAAAACCCTCGAAGAAAAAAGTGACAAAATTGATTTTGACTAGGGTCGCCCCTAGTCCAAAATTGAAAATGTATTTCCTTCTTGGTTCTTTGCTCAAAAAAATTTTAAGATGTTTTATTTGTATTTGTTTTAAACACCAGAATGTTTATGCAAAGTTTCAATCCATTTGGAAAAACCCTCGAAGAAAAAAGTGACAAAATTGATTTTGACTAGGGTCGCCCCTAGTCCAAAATTGAAAATGTATTTCCTTCTTGGTTCTTAGCTCAAAAAAATTTTAGGATGTTTTATTTGTATTTGTTTTAAGCACTAGAATATTTATAAAAAGTTTCAATCCATTTGGATAAACCTTCGAAAATAAAAAGAAAAACTAGATTTTGACTAGACCTGTCCCAGGTTCATAATTGAAAATGTATTTCCTTCTTGGTTCTTTGCTCAAAAAATTTTTTGGATGTTAGCTCTTCTATAGAGCAGCACGGATCAATTGTAAAAAACTAGAAGTCTCTACGATGTCTCGTTATTGAGATTTCTTGCTGATTAACTTGCTTGTTTGCTTGTTTGCTTGTTTGCTTGCTTACAGAAAGCATATTTTGTGATTTTCTCAGCAATGCCGCAACCAATTTGAAATCTGTTTTTTGCAAAAGATGTGAAATTCAATGCACAAACTTTTCATCTCTGAACATTTTAAGCTATCTTGCTCCATATCCTCACAAAATTCTAAAAACTGATTTTTCAATCTGAACAAAACCAATAGATTCACACGTGAAAACGATGTGAATATAATAAAACAAACGAAACTAGTCAATAAAATATTTTCCAGCCACACTCTGAAAGTTTATAGTGTATTGATCTTTGAATGTACTCAAATGCTATTGTTCACTGATAAGATTGAAATTCATTCGTGCATTGATTCTGTTTTTGTTGTTAGTTTTCAGTATTTGATACAGTAAACAATACCATATTCAGTTTTGTCAAAGAGTTGGTGCTGTATTATGCCAGATTGTTTTGAGAGACTTATGCAATTTTTCTCAATGTTTTTCGCACAAATATACTCAAATGTTTCCAAACTGAATAGGGTCTAATAATATTGATTTTATAGTTCATGGCTGAAATGTCAACATCAATAATCGCGTGGCAATAAAACGGCATGAACTTATTATCAGTAATAAGAATCAGTGTGAAAAACTGATATGATTGGCATTAATTCACACCTCTTTTTGCTGCTTTTTCTGTGATTTCATTCAACATCATTTCCACACTCACTCATTCTCTCCCTCTCCCTCTCTTTCTTTTAATCACAACCCATCAACTTTTCTCCAATGTTTATTTTTAAACGATTTACTTGCCTTATGTCGCTCAGTTTTCTTTCAGTAGCTTTATAAGACGGATTGTAAACAATATGAAGAAATATTCATAGACTGTAACTTTAAAAAAATAGTTTTTAAAGTGAAATAATTGCTTTAGAGTTGCTTGATCCAACATATTATGTGATATATTGATAAAGGTGTGCATAACATGTGTTTTTATTCGATCCAACATAATAAAATTTGGTGGAATTTTAAAAAATTTGTCAATTTTTAAAACTGAGAAAAACTTAAAAGTTTTACGGGCAAGTTTATGTGCAAACAATAATATTACGTTTTTACACTGACAAAAATGAAGCAAGAAAGAAAGTGAAAAGAGAATTTGAGTGTTTACCTTGTTTTTGTGCTCACGTGTCTCGTCTCTGTCTCATCGTTAATTAATTTTTTTCTGCTGTTTATTGAGTGTTTAAGGCTTAACATGTGGTAAACTAGTTATTGAATTAATTATTACATGGAGATTAGACTTAGTCTCTATTTTTGGGTGAATACGAAATTTGTGAATTGTGTGATATACAGAATGTCTCTCTGATAAGAACATTTTATCGTTAACGTTACAATTTGTTTTGATAAGAAAAGTAGGATAAATCTGATGTGTAGTTTATCCCGCATAATTATCATCAATACAAATTACTTAGTCTTCTCGGGAAACTTGTGTAGTTCGCTTTTGTTTTAATTTTCGGTTTATCTTCATTATCATAATTTTATGGTTTTGTACCACATTTATGTAACTTTGTTAATATAATCCATCAAGTGCTGAACAAAAAGAAATTTTTATTGTAAGCAAGTTAATTAATTTACGACATGTTACTTTGACTGTGCGTATCTGTTTCATTGTAAGACTCAATGCATCTTCATTCATGATTTCTCAATAAAATTGTGGATGTTGTGACACTTTTCTTTAATCAATATATTCGCTGTATGTAAATTAAATATTTTTTGCTGTATCTTTATCGATTTTTTTGATTTTTTGCATAATAAGTTAAACGAATTTCTACAAATAAATTTTAAGGTCATGTCTATATTGAAGAGTTTCATCCTGTTTTTTTTTTGCAATATTTACTATCTTATTAAAATTAAATAACAAGACAAAGTCTCGATATAATTTTGAATTTAATGTAATATTTGATGTCAATTACAGCATCCGATACTGTATTGAATCTCGTGTCATTGAACTGATGGGGGGTAAAATCCCCGAATGATATTAATTCCACGATCCTGCGGGATAATAACCCCGAAAAACGCAAATTTTTATATATTCCCTGCGGGATAATATTCCCACTTAGAAAAACACGTGGAATTATTATCCTTCCGGGAAGATAATAATTTCACTTACATTTCTAAGTGGGGTTATTATCTTTATGGAACACGATTAGTATTATGGAATAAATTAAATCCAAAAACTTATTTGTCATAGCCAGGGTGGGTGATTTAAATCAAAAATCAAAATCAAAATCTTTTTGCAATGATTTTAAAAGGGATTTTGATTTAAATCATTTTACCCAAGTTATTTTTTTTTCTCGATTTTGATTTAAATCATTTTTGCACAGGATTTTTTTTTGGGATTTTAAAATCCCTCCATATAAAATTTTTGTATGCAATTTCTCAAATTATTTTTAAAACAACAGTTTTCAGTTGCAGTTCCTCAAAAATAAGAATGCAGTTGATCCTTTTTCGGCCAGAATCTTGCAACTGGATCTTTTAAACTCCAATCATTTCTTTAATAAAGTTTACAGCAACCAATGGTTCCATGCTGTTTGACTTATACGAAATTCAATTCGTGATTTTTCATCTTCTGTGCCTTGCTGCTTACATTTAAATAACTTGACTTCATCAAGCATGCCTGGATCTTATTCTATATGAGGAACTACCTGCTTTCATTGCTTTTAAAATCTTAAATGTCTTTTATTACAGTACCAAAGTAGTCTACGTTTGTTTAAGGGCAATTCTACGAAAAGGTTTCATGAAAATAATCCGTGTCAATTGCATGAATTTTTTAATTATTTTATTTTCACTTGTGCATAGTTTTTCAAAAATCTAATTCTCATTTCCTTTTCTATTGGTTAAACTGTGAATTATGATTACATCTGCACTCAAATTACTTAGCTATGGCTTGAGAAATTCATGGTTTTAATTTTAATATTTGGTAGTTTTTAATTTATTTCTTAAGATGCATGCGAGATACAAGATTCAACTTAATTAATTTTGACTGAGCTTATTAAACAATAAAATATTCATAAAGCAAGAACCTTCTGCAAGTTTTTAAATTTCATACAGATAGATAGTGAAGTGTATAGATTAGAAGTTAAAATTAAACAATACCTTAAAAATTTGGTAAAATTATGTTTTTTAAAAATGATCTTGAATTGAAATAAAAAGAGGATATACATATGAATGCTTTGGGGAGATTAATAATTTTTTTAAGGTTTCCAAGTTTTTCATAATATTTTCTACAGTTTTAAACAAGACGAATTTTTTTAACTTTTGGTTTTTAACTTTGAGGAGTTCCAATTATGTTTTTTCTCATTTGTACTTCCAAAAACATGAATTTCATACATAAATAATATTTATTGTTGACAAAATCATTGCTTGCTACGATGATAAACGCACAAAGTTTAACATTTGTCAAAATATTTTACACAAATTTCAACATTTAAAAACCTGTGATTTTAAAATCAATTATTAGAGCACTTGCAATGGCGTTTTATGACCAGAAACATTTTTAAACGATTAAACAATATTCAAATTCGATATTTCATCATTTTTATGCTAATTAGAAGCACTTGTTATGTCCAAAAAATTTAAAAGATAAAAATTCAAATTTTGTATGGAGTTTTGGTTTTTTTCAAATTTAGAGCTGCCTAAGGTTTCAAGACCATCTTAAATGAGGTAGAAACATTTGGACATCTATTTTACATAGAACTGCATACAAATGTTCAGTATAAATGGCTTATTAATGATGATTTGCATTTAATTTGAGCGCACAAATTTCAACATTGCACAAATTTCAACATGGTTTACCCTAGATCCTTTACAAAAAATTAATTGTCGTTATAATCTACGAAAGATCTAGCTTATTAATCCTTCATAGTAATATAAAATTATTGAAAACATTTTTTTAAACATAATTCATCGAATTTGGACTGGAATGGATGAATCGACTCCGAGTTTTAAATAACATATCTATTACTAAACATTTGAACAAAACTGTGATTTTTAAACAGTTGAATGGACAAAACGAAACAAAATGGAAATCCAGCTACGTTTTCTTTAAACATTCGAGAAAATCTCAAACAGAATTTTATATGAAAAAGCTAACATCTTTTGATCAGTTCAATGCAAAATATTTGCATAACTTCTATTGAAACTTCTATTTTAAATGACTACGATTTCACTGCTATATTTCAAGTCAATTTTGATTTAAATAGGCTTGATGTTTCAAAAAAATTACTGTTCAAACCACTTTGATTTTATTTTTTAAACAATTTGGAATAATATATTTTAGATAGCAAACATTCAACCAATATCTATTAATGTTTTTTTCTTATTTAATTTTTTGGAATAATAAAATTGATTAATTTATCAGAGATCGAAGCCGATTTTTTCGGCTTAACTCAATTTTTGATTTTTTTGATAGAAAAAAGCCATTTGACACCCATTTCAAGTATTTAAATTGAACTTTACATGCTTTACTATGATTCTGTGAAATATTTTTTCAGCATGTAGCTATAGTGAGCTCAGTAAAGCATGATAGTAAAGCATGTAAAGTTCAATTTAAATACTTGAAATGGGTGTTAAATGGCTTTTTTCTATCAAAAAAATCAAAAATTGAGTTAAGCCGAAAAAATCGGCTTCGATCTCTGTAATTTATAAGTGGGATTTTTTTTGGATAAAAATCCTATTAGATAATAAATCCACTTATTAAAACAAGTGTAATTATTATTCGCTATGACAAATAAGTTTTTGGATTTAATTTAATCCATAATACTAATCGTGTTCCATAAAGATAATAACCCCACTTAGAAATGTAAGTGAAATTATTATCTTCCCGGAAGGATAATAATTCCACGTGTATTTCTAAGTGGGAATATTATCCCGCAGGGAATATATAAAAATTTGCGTTTTTCGGGGTTATTATCCCGCAGAATCGTGGAATTAATATCTTTCGGGGATTTTACCCCCCATCTTTTGAGAAAGGCTCAAAGTCGTGGCAACCATGATCACACCGTGCCACACTATAGCTTTTCTACAAAGAACAATTTCAAGCAACAAAATTCATAAGAAGTTTAATCACTAGCAATTTAAGTACTTTGAATAAATAAAATATGTTATGATTATTATAAGAACCTTTCACGACGGGTAACAGATGGTTTGCGTGCACTTCTTGATCGGCTCTTGCCAGATCCACGTCTTTGAGACTTGCGACTACGAAAAACAGAGCGATTACGCGATTTTTCATGCAGTTTAACTTTTTCACGATTGCCATTAGTTGATTGAGAACTTTGAATTCTTCGAAATTGAGTAGGCATCGCATCTGAACTTGAAAGAACATTTTCTGCTAGTTGAGAGTAACACTGATTGCTTTGCATCACTTTAGGATCTTGGATTGATAATTCAAAATTAATTTCAGGTGTTAAGATCTCGCATGGTTCAGAGTGAACTTGAATATCTTGATTCTCGCTATTATTACAGTTTTGATCAGTAATGTAAGCTGAAAATTTTAAAAAGTTAATTTGCACCAAAATTAAATCAAAAACATTTGAGTTACCTCCTTGAGTTAAAGACTCATCTGCACCAAAATAGAATGAACTCATGTTTTCAAATAATTGGATTTAACGACGTTGTAAATGATTGATGTGTTTAAGTCAAATACAATTTCAAATGGTCAAATGGTTTCAAAGTCAATTTCAAAGGTAAAGTTAATTTGAAAAAAACGTGGTAAAAAATAGGAAAGAATTTTTAAAGGTTGTTAAGTTGTGAAACTTTGTCAAGATATAGATCAAAAAGACTTCTGGCTAGTGAAATTAAGTTGAAGATAAGAAGTCTTATTAAGCAGTTTCGTGAGCAACTTAAGATATCTAAGGGACAAATTCAGATCCAAAATCAATACTCAGTTGTGATGTTCTGTCATTTAAAACACGATTTATTAATTAACATTTGGGGCTCTTGAAAAAAATGTGCAGAAATCTTTTAACAAATAAGTCTTACGTAAGTCTACAGTGACTTTTGGATTCTCTGCGTTTCTTTTGTTTTCTGCCAAAATTTAATTATCATCATTTTAGCATCAATTAATTACTCTAGTAAAAAGAGACGATTAATCAACAGTTTGTTTAGTCTTCTTTTCGTACTGAAAATCTCTTCTCTTGTGATTCATTGTGTAGACTGTAAACATTTTTGTATAGACATCGTAAGATTTATCAATTCTGTAAAATTAAAGTTTAACAACAAATAATTTTTTATTTCACAGCTACACATTTTAATAAATAGACATAATATGGTTCCAAAAGCAACTGATACTACTGAAACTAGATTCCAACATGAATACTTAAATGAAAGATCTGTAAATGATGGTAAAAATGTTGATTCATTTTCACCTTTATTGAGACAGGTGAGCAATGTGTATGACTTAATAATTTCACATACTTTCGTTAAGTTTTTCGCAACTTTATTATGTAGGATTCAGTATTATTTAATACTGCTCGTTTGTTCCATAAATGCTAACAAAGTGTGGAGCTAATAATGACCAATTATTATAAAACGCATTGAATATCAAATTTCAGATATTCGCAGCATGTGCGCCAATTGCAGCAACAATATCAGCTGGTTTTACGATTGGATACTCTGCAATATTTCTTCCACAACTTCAATCAGAATCAAGTACAATACCAATAACATTAGAAGAAGGATCATGGATTGCAAGCTTGGCAGCATTCGCAATGGCACCTGGATGTCTTCTGGGTGGTTTTATAATGCAGAAATATGGTAGAAAGTTTTCGCATTACTTTCTTTGCATTCCCACAATCATTGGATGGTTTTCAATTTATTTCGCTAAAAGTATTCCACTGATATTACTCGGGAGATTTCTGACAGGTATGTTGAGTGTCTGTATATATTTTCTTGTACAAATAAAAAAGATTTTTAAGTAGCTGAAAGAGATTTATATCATGTGAATGAGGAACATGCAAGCATCTATTCAATTTATATATTTTTTCTTTATTCTTATCTTTTTCTACTGCTTCATTTGTGATTTTACATAGGTTTAGCAACTGGTCTGCTCGGTCCACCTGGGACTGTTTATATAGGTTGATATATTAGATTTTATGTACGAAAGCTAATAAATTTTAAAGAATTTCTTTTATTCTCGACAGGTGAAACTAGGTGAGATGAGTTCTTAGCTATTTATTATTTTATTGGAACCAGTTCATGACATATATTGCACTTGCAATAAATTATTTAAATTTGCAATAAGATCATAAATTGGTATGAACATATGACAGATTAATTAAGTATAAATTACTGCCGATATTGGGTTATTTTTTAAATGCTCTGATTTTTATGAAGAAGAATCTAGGAACGTACTCTTCATATTCACTCCTCATTATTTGAAATTTATTTGAATATATTGAAAAGGGTCATTTCGAAATGACGTCTAGCAAAAAAATTAATTTCAGACACACCTCAAAAATTAGTAAAAGGTATTTATATCAGTCTTTTGATAAAGTTATTAAAAATTTCATTTTGAATATTTTTATTTGAAGTAAATATATGAAGCATATCAGAGCAATAAATCTTAATTATTTATTTTTTACCTCATAAAATTTAGTAAACTGAAATATAAATTTGTTTATTAAAGAACTCATTTTTATTTGGAAAGGGTTGCCAATTTTATGTCATATTTCAAGCTTGTCCTTTTTCTTCAATTACTCTAATTCAATATTTCTCGTTTCAAAATAATAAGAAGAACCTTAACAGTCATGATGATTCTTGTTATTAAGTTAAATTTGTAGGTCAAGGTTGACACGAAAATGCACAGTATTATTAAAGAAATTTTATTATCCTTATGGGAACAAAAAAAGAGGAAGAATTTTTCGTGCTTAACCGAACATAAGTGAAAATATTATGAATGACTTGAAGTTGTTGTATGAAGCATGTGAACCTTTATCATACATGTACAAAAGAGCAAATCTCATGCTCACGGACAAGCTTATTTAGAAAAATTTGTACTTTTGTATTGGCAGAAAATCCTTTTATGCATCCTTGTTCATATTTATCATTTTAGGTCTTTTATAAGCATGACTTTGGATCAGAATAATATTGGATTTATTTTTTTATTCCTTCCATTAATTTAAATTTTCTCTCCTTTCTGTTCTGACTTCTACTTTACATCATATAGCGAGCCCAAAAATCGTGGATTCTTGCTTGCGACAATAACGCTTTCAATGTCGTTTGGGATCCTCTTATGCCACATAATGGGAACATTTTTTCATTGGAAAACAGTGGCATTAATATCAGCCACGATTTTCCCTTGTATCATATTTATGATATTGTCATATTTACCGGAGAGTCCATCGTGGTTGCTCACACAAAATCGATTGAAAGAAGCGGAAGAAGCATTTCTATGGCTCCGAGGCACATCACCGGATGCGGCGGGGGAACTTGAAGGGCTCATAAAGAAGCATGAGATAACGAAAAAGGAAGAGGATGCAAGCAATATTGAGAATAATTTTTTGACAAAATTAAAAATCAACATGAGAAAGCCGGAATTTTATAAGCCATTGGGTATTATCTTACTGTGCTTTTTCATCATGCAATTTTCCGGCGTAAATTCTGTAGCGTTTTATACAGTGAGCTTAATGAAAAATGTCACAGGACCAGGAAATGAATATTTCTCTATGATTATCATTGATACTGTTCGTGTCCTATCGTCATTTGTTGCATGTGTTCTGCTCAAAATGTGCTATCGTCGCACACTGCTCATGATATCTGGTACTGGAACATCTATTTGTATGATTGCTGTATCCATATGTATGTACTATAGTAAAACTAATCTTGGTAATTCAAACATCTCGTGGCTTTCGATGATATTTTTGATTGGCTACATCTGCTTCATAAGTTGTGGACTTTTCCCATTGCCATGGGTTCTTCAGGGTGAAATGCTGCAGCAGGTTACCCGTGGATTTAGCAGTGGGTTAACGTCATGCTTTAATTTTATTTGTTTCTTTATCGTTGTAAAAACATTCGTACAACTGAGCGCGGTGATGGAAACATTTGGAGTTTTTATGGTTTACGCTCTCATTGCATTAATTGGAACTTTGGTATTATATCGGATACTGCCTGAAACTAAAAACCGTACATTACAGCAGATTGAGGATGGATTTAGCTCGAAATGATAAATTCTGAAACTCGGAATATTTCGGAAGGAATTTTCATCTTCTTTATTGATAATTTTTTTCGCATTTTCTACTCAAAACGAAATGAAAAACCAAAAACTATGATATATGTTCAGTGGATTTATTTACTGAATTTCAACATCCATAAACTTTTTTCATCTCATTTACATTTTTTTTTAATTTAAGATTATAGTTGAATTTTATATAAATGCAATAAAGTTTGCTGTAAATAACTGAATATTAATTTTTCTGATTATCATTATTTGATTTTAGTGAATATTGAAGTTGGTCCATCAATACCAGTTTCTATTAGCTTCTTCTGAACCGCATCTGTTGTTAAACAATGCAATTCTAAATTCGTTTGACTTTATGTTTTAGTATTTCAATTATTATTTTTATTATTATTTGTAAGTTTTTGAATTTTATGATTAATTAAATAGGTTAGAGCTTTGTAAAAAGTTCATACTATGAACCGGTATGAACCAAATCCTTCATCGAGTGAATGGACTTAATGAAAAAGTTCATATTTATTCTTTGATCTTTTTGAAAATATCTTAAACTCCAAATGTACACGTGAAAGAAGCTTCAAACCAAAATCCATGGCATTTCATCTGAACCTGCTATTTAAAGAAGTTCGCAAGAAATTAACTTTCTTTTTCAGAAATTAAAAAGAAAATAAAAGCTTACATTTAAGATGAACTAGATGAGTATCTCGTTCTGTTCATGACAGTAAAGCAATTTTTATTCTGTCAACAAAACAAGCTGTAACTACTTTCTGATTAATGAAAACAGAAACGGTGAGTGAGCTTTGAGAATCCTTGAAGAAGACATTCTTTGAAATGTTTTTTTTTTATTGACTGAGTTCAAGGACGTATGTATAGTTAAAATGCAAGAAAGATTCTGAATGTAATTTCAATTTAAATCATCAACAACGCATTATTAACAAAAACAGTGTATTTTGGTATCATTAAAGCTCTTAAGAACAGCTTCATAAATGGATTTTCTAATGCTTTTTAAACCGATTACGAGCTGTTAGCCTGAACAAAATTAAATGTTTATTAATAAGAGTTAAACAATTGTCTACAATGGAACAAACAGAAGCAATTTGCACTGAAATTTTTCCATTAAATTAACAAAGGAAGCAAAACTTGTTACATAGAATGAAATAAAAAGGGAACCTTATTTCACATTTGTTCATTTCCTTCATACTCATTATATGTAATAACCATGATAGTGCACAGCATGCATATACATAAGTGCTAATGTTAATGCAGTTTCCGCAACAAAAGAATAGAGGAAATTTTCCACAATAAATGAAGAAAAATTTTCCAAATGAGTTCACTCTTTCTCATGTTTATGAACTTAACGATGTAAAAAAATTCTTTTTGAAACTGCTGACGGGGATTGATAATGCACCGTAATATTTTTGTGAGTTTTATGGGATATATGATATAATGCATGTTGTTATATTCAATTTTATATTCTACCATTTCTTCCGCAATTTGGTTTATGATAATGCAGTTGTCTAATTCACAAGGCAGTTTATGCTACTCATAAATAGAAGCATATTATGACAGTGCATTTAGGATTTTTATTGTTATATCCTACGTGCTTTAGGCTTGTTTTTTTTTTTGATTGATCAATAATTTGTATTGTGCAAGCTTTGAGTATTACGATTGCATACATCTGATTTTGATCAACAATACTTTATTCTGTTTCTTACTTTCTCTTACTTTTAATAAGTTTGATTCTCTTTGTTTCCAGCACCATAAAGAAGCTCATTTATTTTGCATTTTTGATGAAGTTTTCATAATCTTTTATGTATGTTACTCTATACATGATGTAACATAATCAAACCCTGATTTTTTCAGAAAATTTTATTCTCCATCATGATTTGTGTACGAAGCGACTACAAACATATATAACAGATGTAATTGCATTAAAATTTGAATAAAACAGAACATGAAGGAATGAATTTAAGCTTTTCACAATTACAAAGGTTTTTCTGCGAGTTTAAAAAAACGGAAAAGGAATTTAAAGCCGACAAGAAATGAACAAATAAGCTTAGGGGCCATTCACTTATTACGTAACGCTTTTAGGGGGGGGGGTCTAAGATTTTGTTACGGTTCAAACAAGGAAATTTTTTTTTCATACAAATTTTGTTACGAGGGGGGGGGGGGGTCTAAGAAGTCATTTTTCGCGTTACGTAATAAGTGAACAGCCCCTTACAGCTTGAACATTTTTAATACATTATTACTTAAATCAACACTCTTATTTGTGGTTTGCTGGAAAAAAAATTGTCCAAAAAAGGAAAATGCTGATAATTTTCAAATGAAATTTTCCTTTTTATTTAGACTGTTATTTATATATATGCAGAACAATTTATTTATCATTTCTTTATTTTTTAATTAGATTCCACTTCCACATAATGATGCTCATAAAATTTGTGAAATTCTTTTTATTATTTTCGTGTCTTACGTTAGTAATAACTTAATTAAATTTATATTACTTTATTTAAATTTAATTGATATATTTTTTACTTCTTTCACATTCATCCTAAATAATTAGATAATTTAAGTAAATCCTATCATTTTGATTTAATTAAGGTAACACATACACATCATCATTTTTCATTGCAATGGAAACTTTTTAAACAGAGTATGAAACAAAAACGAACAACGTACAATAATTTAAATAAATTTTTCCATTTTTTTTTTCTTCTCTTTTGGCTCATGATAAATTCTATATAATTTTTTATAATGAAAGCTAACAGAAAAATCTTGCTTTGCCTTTTTTCCTTCTTTTTATGATTCACCCTCTCTCTTATGGAATAAAAAAGAGAGCATGAAATTTAAATAATTTGTGAGTGAATAATCCAACAATTTGTAAAAAGCAAAAAAAGGTTAAAATTCAACAGTTTTATTTTTTTTATTTATTGTTATTTTTATTATACTTAAGTAACATAGAAAATGAAACTATCATTTTATTGTGAGAAGTACATTACTGTACATTGTGAGCAGATGGAAATAAGAAAAAATGAATAGAGATAATGAAAGTTTTTGATCTAAAGTTTCTTGAAAATTCTATAAGAATAGGTTATTTTAGAAAATCAGATGTCCACAACAAATTTGAGCTTTTTTACAACCATTTGGTTCTAAGTGTTGTCTGAATGTCATGTGGACATCATTGAGCATGAGTCGCCTAACAATTAGTTGACTTTAAATTAGTCTTCCACTGACTGAATTAGAGTTCTGCCAGAAAAATATCATTATTCGAGTTATTTAAATTTTGGAAACTGTCCAAAACCTAAAAGAAAACTTTTCAAATTGAAAATTCTCTATTGATCCTTGTGGATTTAAATTTTCGAAATGTATGCATTAAAAAAGTTTGAAATCTTCCCTCAGCATACAATTTGAAACTCTTAACATTCATCCTTTCAAAATTTCTCATCTTTTTCATTCATTTTTCCACCTTTTAATTATAAATTAACATAGTATGTATAATAATGTGAAATGGGTATTATCATATTAAAAGCATTTTTACCTACTAAATCTAGATAGAAAATTTTTCATTCACAGCTGTGTGTAGTTTTGTTGTAAATGTGGATGGGGTATTAGTGTATGAGCTTAAATCTGTGTCTTTCTTTGTTTATTTATTAAAGATAAGAAGATTTTTCAAATTATAAAAATTACGAAATTGCGAAGAGAAATTTACTAAAAAACATATAAGATGAAAAGCAATAAACAAAAACGTTGACAATAATGCAATCTGTTTAACAGAATGCACCTAGTTAATTACATTTTTACCCATATTACTCGAACATCATTTTGAATCATAATTTACTCATTTTTTGTAACAATTTTTTTGTGAGATTTTTAAAAAATTTCAACATAAAATTTATCTCAATCAATTTCATTGATTGAGGATTAAAAACATCATTTTTTTGTTATTAAATTCATTTTTCCTATAATTTTTTTTTGAATTACAAATGTAAGAATAGCGTTTGTGGGTTTTTGTGTGAAGATTAAACTTACATAAGTGATATAATGAGGATATAATTGATTTTACATTATGAGAGCTGCACGAGATGGATTTTTTATTTCATTTTAATAGTTTCAACGAAGCGTTTGAGATTTCTATACTTGGCTAAGATTCTGTTTTTCATTTACTTATAGATTACATATAAAGTTTCATTTTTTTTTGCAAAAAGCTTTCTGATTGATTAGAAATTTCTATAATAAAACTAAAACTTTCTTCATCTACTTACATATTTTCATAATCATTCGTATGCAAAAACTACTTGTATCTATCTCTGTACTTTATTTTATAGTTCTCTTTTCATTACATTATAGTGGGTGTGTGAAAAAGTTTCATTTATTTTCATTCATTTAGTTTAATTAATTTTTTGTGGGAAATATATTAGATTTAGAGTGATAACACTTAGATTTAACTACGAACTTATGAACTACGTTTGTCTCTCTTTTCAATTTTTTATTTATTTTTCTTCAATTTTATTTATATTAAAATATAATCACATTTTTAGCTGAGCTGTATCTATTTATTTAATTATACCATTTTATTTATTTATTTATTTTATACCTTAAAATTATTCAATTATGATAATTTTCGATTAATGAATAGATTCAGTAACTGAACTTGGACATTGTTATGAATTTTTTTCTCAAATGTATGCAATCTCCACAACTTGAAAATGCATGCCATTATTTATAAAGATGTGAATTTCAAACTTTAAACCTCATCAAGTGTTTGTGCAACTAAACTTGGGATTTTATTTCAAGTAATTCTAATAATAAGTTGTCATTGATATCAGTAGATTAAAGACATTTAATTTTCATAAATATTCAGCTTTTTGTGAACCAGTAATCTTGGATTTTTAGCACATGTCTGAATGACAATCCAAGACTCTATTATAATATTCCAAGGGTTTCAGCTACTGAGTCAAATTTGGGTGAGTGAAAAATAATAAAATTAATAGAAAAAACAACCAGGAAGAATGTCCGTCATCAATGCATTGCTATGAATCAAAAATATTATAAATGAATCACTTTAAAATCAGTTAAACTTGAAAAGATTTTTCTGATATTAATTTCAGCCGGATTCTATTTCTAAAATTCAATATTTCATAGCAGTTTTATATGTGCTCTCTTACCGCATCATCATAACCAGAGATCGAAGCCGATTTTTTCGGCTTAACTCAATTTTTGATTTTTTTGATAGAAAAAAGCTATTTGACACCCATTTCAAGTATTTAAATTGAACTTTACATGCTTTACTATGATTCTGTGTAATATTTTGTCAGCATGTAGCTATAATGAGCTCAGAATTTCAATTTAGCCGATTTTAAGCCGAAATTTAAGCCGATCGGCTTATTATCGACTAAATTGAAATTCTGAGCTTACTATAGCTACATGCTGACAAAATATTACACAGAATCATAGTAAAGCATACAAAGTTCAATTTAAATACTTGAAATGGGTGTTAAATGGCTTTTTTCTATCAAAAAAATCAAAAATTGAGTTAAGCCGAAAAAATCGGCTTCGATCTCTGATCATAACCATAACTGTCATCGTTTTCTTTCTTACGATGAGAGAAAATTGGAGATCAAAATGATTTTAATGGTGAGAAAATTCATACTTTTTTTCTTATCATGCTTCCAGTAAAATCAGACTCAATATTCGATGAACACGTGCAGGATGAAAAAGAAAACAGATTTTTGTAATAAAAATTATATGAAATATTAAGAATTCTCAGCACAACATTCTCGATTTTTATTATTAAAAGAAAAGGAAAAGGATGTAGAAGCAAGTATGAATGATCAGCGAGTTTGAATACCAAATAAAACATAATCTAGAAAAATCGTTAAAATGGAATTATGGAGATTCGGAAAAGGCAGATTCAAATATCTCTTCTTCATATACTTGTTATTTTTCTACATCGAGAAGATTTTGCTTACTTCTCATTTTTTAGAACTAGTTTTCGCTTTTAGCAGGTTTACGTAATGATATGTTTTTTTTATTATTATTTTTTATTTCCTTATTAATTTTATTTACGGCATAGAATTCTTACATTTTATTTCTTATTTATAAGGAAAGATCATAAGAGAAAGATTTGCAATTCTTTTCATACATTTCAGTGTCTTTTTTTATTTTTTACTTCTACTTAAATACAATAATCTAGTAATAAGGAATCAAAACTTTAGTAACTGGATGTTGGCTTGTTGTAAATTATAATTTAAGTTTGATGTTGATCTTCATTTATATTGAATTGTAAGCGCAACTCCAGACATACAACCAATTTAACAATTTCTAGAATGAGTTGGGCTACTTAAACTGAATTTTAAACAATTTTCCATCACATTTCATGCTTCACTTTTGAGTCATGTCTCTCGGAAATTTCAGCAAGCATGTTACATTTGTGACATCAGTATGACATTGCAAGATATCGTACGACTCATGAAACGTACGAAGTTTCAAAATTTATGATGATTTTTTAATGTTTAGCTATTTTCATGCTTTTGAATTTTCCCATCGTAATTCTGAAGATTTAAAAGCTTGAACATGTTTGTTTTGTAGACTGATTTGTTGAGTTTTTTAGATTTTCTTCATATTCGGTTATATTTTAATTGAATTATAATAAAGGCATTCAGTTTAAATCTTTTTTTTTGTTGTTGGAATTCTTAGTGCTGTTAAGTAAATCACCCAACTTAGTTTTCGTCGAAAAGATATAGCAAAAAATATTACAAAAAGTCTGCGAAACTCAATTCATTCAATCATCATAAATTTTAATGTAAGAGAACATACAAGTATCATTATAGCAAGACAAAGTTTATAACCGGAAAAAGAACGTTTTTGAAAAATTATCAAAAATTTAGAAAAGGAGCTTATGAATAATCCATTTAACATCATAAACATAACAATTCAAAGGATGGAATTTATGATATAAAATTAAATTAAAATTGTGTAGCCTTGCCATGGCTTGATCCATTAAAACTGAATTATTGTATTTTTTTTTTGTTTCTTAAACTCAAAAAAAAAATATTTGCATATGAAAATCATTTCGTTTTCTATCTGGTTTGCCAAGTCCAATATAAAATAAGAAAAGAAAAACCGAAGACGAGATTCATGCAAAAATAAATGTGCATTATTACTACAGTTAAGTTTTGAGATCTATGCATGAGTCTCAATAATCCTTAGCTTAAATAAATTGTTTTATCATATCTTGTTTGTTAAATGTTTTCAATATTAATAAGTTTCTCATGGTTTTTGACACACACGCATTATGATGCAGAAATAAATTTCATATTTTTTTTTATTTTTTCGTCTCTTTAGAATCAGGTTTGGTCCAATTTTCAAAAATTAGAAAAAGCTTTCGACTTTTCATCTACTTAATATATTGCTCTAAGTGAATGTGCTGTTTTCTCTATTCATAATTTGTGTTCGCTTTGCATTTTCGAGCATTTTTCATCCATACGATTTTATTCCTTATTTTAGGAATTTCTCTAGAATTTATTTTGCTTCTTTTTGTTTGACATCCTCCATGTCGTTAATCATCATTTACATAAAAAAATCCGTTTTTACAATGAAAGATATGAGAAATACGTGATGCTTATGACACTCCATCCATAATTTATATCCCTTTAAAATTTCTTCTCATTCTGTTCCGATGTCTCATGTTATTTAGACTTCATTTATTCATTGAATATGGCGAAGAGCTTTTGCTTCATTGTTACGTGTAAGTTTTTTTCTTTATTAATTTTTGTGCTCGGCTATGTCTAAACGTAACTTCGACTTGTCACATATTTGCTACAAATGTGTAATCAATAATCATTAAATATCTATGTACTTTTATTTTTTATTTTATTTTTTTGGAAGGATGCATATTTTGGATACATGGCATGAATTTATTTTTATGGATTGTTTCTAGTTAATTCATTCTCGATGTCTATTTGGTGGAAAGGCAGTTATGTAAGTTATGTAGGAATACACAATATTTCTCTTGTTTTAAATCATTATGAAAACCCTTTATAGTGAATGAAGAAAAATATTAAAAATACAGCATACGCCGATGGAAATGTGATCCTGAATAAAAAAATAAAGATAGGAAAAGATCAAATGACAATTAATTCAATTATATTATAATAAAGTTCCATTATTTTCATGAAAATATCTTACCTTGCAATAACATCAATCGTCTTAGCAATCCGGATTGGATGTGGGGGTTCTTTCTTTCTCACTTGTACAAAGCACGTCTGAAAGAAAAAGCAAAATAAATTTTAATTAAATGAATCCTCTTAAATTTTTATAATTGAGCAGAGAATTTATCACAGCAAATTTTTTAAAACTTTTATTCTTCTAGTAAGAGATAGGCAGACGAGGACCAAAAAAGCACTTTTCTATTTTTTTTTATCAAGAAACCCAAAAAAAATATATTTGGTAGCCAGAAGAAATTCAAACTGTTAATACGATTATCTTCTTTGCTCATATGAATGCTTAATTAAACATTCATCTTACTTCAGTTGCACATCCATTATTTGCCGAATGTGTGCACGGACTATTCCCACCACAAGTTGTACATGCTACTATCTCATTCGGTCCACTTGCATCTCTCTTCTTTTCATTCTAGAAAGCATTAATGGTTGTACCAAAAGAGTCCATAAGCGATATAAGAAAAAAAGGAGAGAAAAAGAGGAATTGACAGATTATTTGTTAATTATTAAGATATATGTAATGCGATGAATACAAATTAACTTTTACTTTACATAAGACACAAAAAAAGGGACAATAAAGTGAGCATTATAGAACAGGACATTACATAAAGAAACAAAGAAAACGAAAAGGAAGTGAAAGAAAATGTTTATATCTACATTAGTCACGTTCCTTAGAAAAAAAAGAAGCATTTAATATTAAGAAAAAAAAAACTCATATTTCGCATCTTTGGAATGTTCTCATTAAAATTATTTCTCACAGTAATAATGCTGCAAATTTCATGTATATTGTCTAATATCATACATGTCTGTACATTCATTCATAAATATATGATTGTGATGTGCGTAATTGAATTTATGAAAAATATGAGTCATTTTCAAAGCTCATCATCAAGTGAGTTATGCTGAAAGTGGCAGAAGAAAAGGTGGAAGAAGTAAAGTATGTAATAATAATAATATCATTAAAGTGAAAGCATTTTTTCTTCAAAATATAATTCTTGATAAAATTGAATAATTTCTTCCTAGGTATGGAGATGCTGTGCGAAGAAAACAGGAAGCGATTTTTCATGTGCACTTTTCATAATTGTTTTATTTAAGTCAAGGGAATGAAGTTCATTGGACGAAGATTGCGTTCTCTTGTTTGGTGATTTTTTTGCGACGTTAAAAAGTTTGGAGTGCCAACATTAAACGACATGGAACTGCTCTGGGAAATATAAATTGTTGTTGAAATGTTCCGAAGTTTTTTCGCTTTCAAGAATAATTTTTGAATAATATTTTAAATAAATTTTATCTAACAATATCCGGACTGATGATAGGAAACATTAAAAAACCTTAAAATACTTTAATCAAGGTCAAACATCTTAATGTCTAGGGTTCGTGTAAAAATTTAGTTCATTCAACTTTTAATCATTTTTTTTTCAACAGCTCCAACATTAACTAGCCTTTAAAGCATTCCAAATTTGTTTTACACATGAAAACGTCTTACAAGTTCTTTTCAGACTTTGATATTTGCGTGAAATGAAGCAATGACTTCCAAATTTTTGTTGGAGTTCTGCCACAGTCATCAAAAGTAGTTTATACGAGGAGAATCATAGATTTATATAAAAATAGTCAGTAATTACAAACTAGTGTGACTTTATTAAGGATTATTAATTGCTACTGCAGATTTTTAATGTTAATAATGCAACTTAATTTATATGCAAATGTCCATGGAGAATCTCTCAAGTTTATGTTTAAGATAGCAATATTTAAGGCGTCAAAGATGTTTATGGGCTTGAAATTTTACCAAATTAACGATATGAAATTGTTTCCGGCACCTCTTATTTTATTATAGCTTAGAAAATTTATAACAGTACTTGACCTAAATTTTCTTTACTTCGTGTCAAGTTAATATCATAAATAATTTTGCTCCCTTGATCCTCAACTTATGTACGTGTATAACTCATAAATGAATATTAAGATTCCTCATATTTCATAAATTATATAAATATGGTAGGAATATGTGATGACAACAGGCGATGAACTAAATGAATGAGTGATATAATTAAAAGCATAAAAATATCAACATTCACATTCTTCTTTAAGTCTTAGGTAGAAAAATCATCTTGCTCATAATACTTTACACTTATGAGACCACAAAAACCTGAGAGATTCATTTAAAATACTTTATGGCATGAAATCTAAGTCAAGCACTATCATGTTTCCACATTACACAATTAGATAAAATTTTGTTGGCATCTTTATGGTTATATTATGTATTATGTTTTTGGTGAACGCAACAATGATATCAATCTGTGGATACGAAGTTTTTTGTATGGATTCTTTGTAGAAGAAAGAAAAATTTTAGATGGAAGTTTATTATAAGCAATTATAAGTCTTTATCCAGTTCTTATAATTAAAACCTTTAAGATATGGTTTGCATTCGAAATTTTGGAAATCCTTAAAATGTCTCAACCACTTTTTCTGACAACTTTAAAATGTTAGAATGAACAATTTATTATGTTTGAACAATTTTAGCAAGTTATCGAAAATATTTCTCTGTGGACATCCCTAACATAGTCAAAAAAATGAGATGAAAATTTAGTAAGATTTTGAATAAATTATTTTTAAGTATTCCTTGTAAAATTTAAGCAAAGCACAGAAAAACCGCTTGATGAAAAAAAAATAATTTACATAATTAATTAGATAAAGTATTCATTTAGGAAAAAAGTCTGTGTCTGCAGAAAACAATTGAATTAACGAAATTTTCCAATGAATTCATGAATATGTTTAGGGAAATGCTAATACATAGAAAATGTTTTTAGATCTGTCCATAAACGGAAAATGAGAAAAACATGAAAACTTTTTGGATTCGTGAAAGTATTCTTTAATAAAATAATAGCAATTAATTGTTTATTTTCGTAAGCTTCTGTAAATGACTATTTTTTCTGTATGTCATATCCGTAGCTTGATATCTTATGCAAACCAGCAAAATGTTAATATGAAAGCACATCAGTGACTTTATGTTGTTCTTTTATATTTACCGGCTTTATTTTTTTGTGTTAAGGCAAAAGCACATTTCATTGTCATGTAAGAAAAGAAAGAAAAAAAAAGTAAATGGAAAGAGAAAGAACAAAACTTAGAGTTAATAAATTGTTAAAAGCATCATGACATTACTATAAAATATTAAAAATAAAAAAAGTTTTAACATCATGCTAAGTTAAGCTCAGAATAAGTTGAAGGCATTTTAATTATTATTAATTACACACATACACATAGGTTTTGCGGCAAGTGACACTTTTCTTCAAAATGTTAATTAATCAAAAGTCAAGAAATGAGGGAAAAACGTGTAAGTAGGGAAGTAGAAATGTTAGTTGTACATATAGTCGTGGAAATGTCAAAGTAGCAGGATTATGTAAAATATAAAATGGCTTTGGGCGTATTTTCGTTGTGTCCGATCAGAAAGTAAGGAAAATGGAAGGCAGTGAATATGAATATGAAGAATGAAATTCATACGCTGCTATTTAAATAAGCAAGGATTCTTTATAGGATTAGCAAAATGAAGGGCAACCCTAGTGAAGTTCATGTTGAAGCTATCGATACCAAATATCGACAATTAATAAACACAGGCCATCCAATTATATTTATATAATTTTTCTTCATAACACGAAAAATACGCCAGCATGACAAGTTTACTCATCATGATAAAAGCAGCACACCACTCTGAGAAAATCAAATATTTACTTTCAAGGAACTTGCATTTCTGTGCGGAAATTCCGTTTCAATGAACACAGCGTCATTTATAATAGTTCGTGTTGTAACTGAAGAGTCAGTAATTGTTTGATCAACATTAAATTTCTTCGAGCATGCTTTTCTTGATTCCACTGATACAACCTTAGGTATCCTAAACTTTTTGAAGTTCAAAATTTCCTTTAATGGGGAACAAAAATTTTTTGCATGTTCTTAAAATGTTTTCATGTTGTTTGTAGAGAATATAATTATTATAATATGTTATGTAATATGAGAGAAAAAGGAGATACGGAATTAAAAAATATAATATGGAACATAAGCAAGTGGAACTGAATGTCACGTAAGATTATAAAAGCCGCATATTCTATGTGTATATTTTCCCATATTTTTAAAAAGTTAAGCAGTTGTTCTCTTCTTCTTATTACTTTTAGGGTCGATTTCTCAAAGACACATCGTCTTCTATTTCCACAAGAAAATATTTCTTCTAAAACTCTTGAAGAATTTGAGGAAATAATAAAATTTTACACTATAGCTATCAAAATAAATGTCTGTTGTAATACGAAACCCTTGTTAAAAATGAAAACTAGGACGCAAGCTTATAAATTTTTCAGTAAAATGTTGCCATACATTAAGCTTTTTAAGGGTTACATAAAATAATACTCTAAATTTATCATTTTTCTTTTATCCAGCAACAAGTGAACATTTTGATAGAGAAAAACTCCAGTTATGGTAACTTACTGGTGTGCTTAATAGGCTCACATATTGTGAACATTTGGATGTCATGATTAATTTATTTCAGTCACGAAACAACAGTTCAATAATGAAATAAAGTTTTCTTGCTTATTTAAATTATGAAAAATAAAATGAACATTTGAAAAATCAGCCCCAACTTTTCTTTATGTTTTAAACATAAGACAAACTTTATCAGTAAAAAAAGGAAATTTGCACTACAGCACTTTTACCATACAATTTTTCACTGCTTTCTAGTATGTATGTACAGTTTACTTTTTATTTTGTATGAAAATTGTATGTGAGGAGCAAAATAACAAAAGTATAAAGGTAGAATGTTATAGCTCTAGGTGCATACACATAGATTTAGCAAAAATAAAAAAAGTAAGTTCAAATATTTCTGAGAAGGACAGACAAAAAATAGAGAAAAAATGTAAATAAATGTTTTCTATCATAAATAATTGAGTAAAAAACATGAGAAAGAGACATAAGTAGATAACGGAAAAAGTGGGGAATAAGAAGTACTAAAAAGTTTTCAGGAAGGGTTTGAAAGAGAAAAAATAAAGTATATTGTATAGGAATTAATGGAAGAGGGCGTGCAGTTGTATAGGACAAATGCAATATTTATGGATATTTACAAATAAAATACATCAAGTATCACAATCACTGTGGATGTGTGTACAGTACTACAAATTGTGCTTATTATATAACATATGTATGTAAAAATAATTAAGAGAGGGGTAAAAAAGATGGAATGATCGTTGGAGACAATGATTCATTACTGATGGGATATATAATATAAAAATGTAGAAGAAAATAAAATAAATATAATATACAACGATCCATTAATGGAATTGACTCAAGACCTGACCAACATATCGCTCTCTTCTGAGCTTTTTCTGACTAAGTTTATTTTTTTCATCAATTTTTTTTTCTTCAGAAAATCTAATTTTGTCTTCTTTTTTCCATTTTCACTGACACAAAAAAAAGTTGAACAGGTCTCGCATTTTTTATTTTGCTCGTATTTTTTGTATTTTTTTGCTTCTACAAAAGAAAATATTTTTTTGGATAATTTAAATAAAGAAAATTTTGCTCTCGAAATTCAACTAGAATTTCTTTGCTTTTTGTTCATTGCATTTTGCAAAAAAATATTTTTGTAATTAATGAGAATTGCGAGCGATTTGATTTAGAATTTTTTTGCATTCTTACCAAGGGACTTGCCAGGATCATTCCAAATCGACTGAGGACTTCAGGGAGTCGCTAAAAGACGATATACACACAATTGATTGGTACTAAACACACTTTTAATTGTATGAACTTAAAAAATTTTTTTCATCGTTAAATTATTGATTTTTAAGATGAAATATTGATACATTTACCATGCAATTGATTGAGATAAAAGATAATTTTTTACGAAAACAAAACTTTTAAAAATTCTTTTGGCTTTCGTAGTTTTAAAATTAAGAAGATTCAGCTTTGAAATTTGAGATAAATTTAAATCTTTTACAAAAGAGCAAAATTACTAATTCCTGTTAAGAATTCCAAGTCTAATAAATTCACACAATGCTCACAATTTGAAAGTTGGATTTTATACTCAAAATAGAGTGCAACCATAATAATAACAATAGAATAAAATTTTTGTCAACACATTGAATCCAATAAAATAGCAAAAAGACTTGCTTTTTAAAATTCAAAATGTATAATGTGTTATTGACACAGACAAATTTCTGTGAATATGAAATCAATCTTAAATTTGTCAAATATGTGACAATAAAGAAGGAGGCATGTAGCTATTGACTCTCAAATTTTTCGTAAAGAAATTTGAGAAAGGTATTTGCCATTTATTATTCATGAACAGAATTTTGAATTGCTAAGCTAAAGTTTATTCGTATGAAGAACTGCACATATGATAACTTATTTCCTCTATGAATACTGTTTACTTTAAAATTGTGTGATTTTCACGAGTCAAAAAGTTGTCACTATAAATCTCATTTTAGAGCCTATATCGTCAAAGAAAATTTCCCAATAAAGCCGAAACTCACATAAAAACAATAAATCTATTTTATTACCGAAAATATTGCCAAAAGAATTTCCGATTAATATTCAGATATAGGAAAAAATATATAAAAAAAGAAATCTGAGAATATTATGAGTATGTGGGTGAATAAATATGGTAAGGGTAACACAAAACGTGAGAAAGGTACAAAAAGTCTAAAATTGATTTACTTTATGCATGTAAAAATGGCCAGGGTTGTTAAATTCATCCATTCAACTTTTAATTTGGATATTTAATAAAATTAATTTCAATTGTTTGCCATACTTTTGCAATGAAAAACGTATGTCGATTGGGTTATAAACATTTTGCATCAATGGCTGTAGGTTTTAAATCTAATTAAAGATAATAAAATTTTGAATATTCTTTTTGGTTTGAAAACTTTTTCAACTTTTCGAACCCCAAACAACAGATCATGATTTTTTTAAAGGGGAGCCTGTGCAGATGCAAAACCAATAGACATTAATATTTTTTTCATTCCTTAATTACAAGAATTTTTTAATCAAAAAAAAAAAACATTTTATTCATTCCCAATCAAATACAATTTTCTCTAGAACAACAACCCTGATGAATAAAGAATATAGTTATACAAACTTAAAAAACTATAGTTTTCTTTATTGCCAATTCATCGAATGTGTCTAAGAAAGTCTCAAAAAGTTCCAAACATTAAACAAAAAATGAAAGAAAAGAGAAGGAAGGAATAAAAATGCAAAATAGAGGAAAGAAAAGATAGACATCCACAAGTTTTATGTCGTCTTAAATTTTTTTTAATTTTTGTTCAGCTTCAAAGTTCTACACATAAACATATACTCATATAAAAAAGTCACTTTCTTTTGTTTTTTCTTTCAGAAATGTATCATTAAATATAGAATGATAAAAAATACACAAAAAGAAGAAAGGAAAAATAAATGTGCTGAGTACACAAATGTTATAAAAATGTAATCAAAAGGACCAATCAATTCATAAAAAGAAGTTTTTTTTTCTCTTTCTTCTAGCATAAAAATAATCTTTTGTTCGATAATGGAAAAAAGGTTTTTCTAGTTTAATGACGGGGAGCATGTTCGGAATGTTCCGGTGAATTTTTTTTTGAAATAAAAAAGTATATAAGACGTCAAGCCTTGGTCATGAGACTGATTTTAAATTATGGCAATAATCGAGTCTAGAAAGGATTTCAAGTTTACATTCGATCAGTAATCGAATGATGCAAAATTTTTGAATCATATATTTAACCTAGATCAAAAGACCAATATCCTTCGTCAGCTAGACATTCTTTAAAAATTTCAGATTAATTAATGCATCGATGCAAGCAACGGACAATAATCTCCAAAAGCTTTTTCAAGCAGAAATTGCGAAAGTTAATGCTGAAGAAAATGGCATCAAAAATGTCCATTTACGAAAGCTTTTCGGAACCAATTTATCACTTCAATAAATTCCGGTTATGCATCAGTTAACAACAATCTGAAATATTCCATGTTCATAACTTTTCATCATTAAAATTTTATTTTCAAGAAAAAAAAATACTTTAATTTAAAAATAAATAAGAACTGTTTTAAACTTTTTAAAATTCCGACTTGTCACTTTTTAAATGCAAATTTAAATTCCTATTAATTTAGTTTGTCAAAAAGCATTTCGCATATATTCATGACCAAGACTTGAGGGAGAATATGAAATGAGAGGGAAAAAAATGAAAATTAAAAGAGGAAATGAAGGGAAAATATGCAATTTTATAGAGAGAAGAAAATTAACATGAAAAATTCATTCACAGAGTTGTTCACATATAAAAAATTACTAACCTGAGTGACAGGATTTTCTCCAGGTCGATAGACAACATTATGTAATGGACGCTTCCTTCCCACATAATTGACACAAACGAATTCAAGTAGTGATGCATAAATAAAGCACATACATACACCGTCCCACACATTCATTGCTGTTAGATTTGATACGACTGGTAGTGTACTTCGGAATCCATTTGATGTTGTGAAAAAATTCAACATTGTTGTTACGCCTATTTTTAATTTTCATTGCAATGATGTGCATGTAATGATAGTTTTTGATTCAATAAATTTTAATTACACAGTAAGTGAGTCAGAGATGGGAAATAAAAAAAAAGTATAAAGGAAGAGAAAGAAGATTAAAAATGCAAATTAATAAATGTTTAAAAAATCATCATAATAATTATTATTATCATATTGCATAAATGCGCTTCAAAACAACTATAAAGTTTCAGTCTCCAATTAAATATCAAATTGATGAGATAATTTTTGTAATTAAGGAGATATTTTTAATCGAATTGTAGGCGCCATCACGAAGCTTTCATTTGCTCTATTCATTTAATGAGGATAATGGTTGTGCACATTAAATTCATTTATTGCATATTTGCTCACCTATCATAGCTCTAAAATTTTGTAATGTGAATGTTTGTTTATGCATTATTATTTTTATAGAACGTGAGTAAAAATTTTGTTGTAGAAAGAAAAAAAACATGGAAGAAAAAAAGACAAAAAAATATCCGGATTAGCAAAGGAATTTCTTTTACAATTCAATATATTACATGACGCATTTTCTTGGATGTATTTCAAACTAGATTCTGTTAAATATTCGCAAATTTTTCTTATAAAATTTATTATGAAAATAGAAAATTTAAAAGTTAGAATCAAAGTTTTGAGTTCAATACAAATGAAAATAGATTTATGAAAGTTAATAATATTAGTTTAAATTTTTTTTGAACATTTATCTATTGGCATATTTAATTATATTTAATTCAATTCTGTTATCTGTAGCATATGTATATGTTTTAACAGACTTTTACCACAAAAATTAATTAAGATACGTAGAAATTTTCATTAAATTTCTCATTTCATAAGTTCGGTTCTTACAATTATCTTACATTAAATTAATTCTTTTAAATCTCTTGCTATCTTAAATTCAAGAAAATGCGTTTCTCATAGTAACATTTTAATTTTTTTACAATTTTTTTCTAAGTCTATAATTTCAATTTACCTTGCCGGCACTGCATTCCATTCAAGCCAAAATGTTATAAAGGATGATGTTACAAGTATAATGCCCGGTATGAATACAGTTGTGAAATAAAAGTGACGATCTCGTGTGAAGCGAAGATTTACTCTCAAGCATGAATAATTGCCTAGTTTTATTGTATAGTATATTGTGATATATAGGCAATAAAAGAAGGAGTATAAGAAAATATATCTAGCATGAGCATAAGTAATGTATATACATTTATAAATAGGTGTTGCAGTGGTGTTAAAACTGTGGATTACGTATAATTAAAATAAGAAAATTTCCATCCATTCATAACAACACTGCAATTTAAAGGATGATGAAAGGAGGTTAAAATGTCATGAAAAATAAGAGCGATAAGCATGATGAACAGTAAGTAATTTAAATGCTATTTATTTACGCAAATCATCGACTTGATGATGTACTTCTTTATATTTTACTATAATGTATGTCATGCATAATGTATACAGATATAAGATACGTCTTTTTCTTACAAAAGTTAAGTTGTCACTGCTGTTGATATTTTCAAGCTGAGCGCTTTTAAGCATTACATTTTTATATATAAACAATTGAGCTAGTTTTCCTCAAAAAGAAAGAAATCTAAAAATACCGCATGAATTTATGTACAATCGAGGAGACAAGAGAAAATATGTCAATTTAGTATTGGAACTAATAAAATATTTACAATCGAGTTTCGTTCCTATATATCTCCTTAAAGAACATTCTAATAAAAGCAATTTTGATATACGACATGTACGCACATCTTTTTTACATGTGTACGCGCGTGTATAGTCAAATGTTTACCTATCATTGATCTTGCTGGTACTGCATTCCATTCGAGCCAAAATGTGATAAATGATGATGTTACGAGAATAATACCGGGTATGAAGAAAGTTGTGAAATAAAATGATCGATCACGAGTAAAGATTAGATTCACCTTTAAGCAGCTGTAGTTGCCTACAAGAAATTCAATTTCGATTCCGTTTTCAGAACATAAAAATGTAAGAAGAGAGAAAAGGAAAGAAAATAAAATCAAAAAATAAATGAAAAAAGGGGAAAAAGAAGCAAAAATTTCTATGCTTTCTTTTTGGTAAAATAGCGTCTCAGAATCGCTGTGAGATAAGTTTCATGCAATTTCCATTATACATTTTTTTGCTTGCTATTTTTATTCTCATTTTGTACATAAAGACTAAAAGGGAGGAGAAAAACTAGAAAGAACATTGGCACTTATCAGTTACATGAATGAGATGCCAAAGCATTTTATTTGCGTTGCGATGTTGAGTTTATTTTTATGAGGCGTGTGAGATTTCTGTCTTTCTTCGCATCTACGTTGCCTGTCTTCTGTGTCAATCTCGGCGTATGAATGTAATACATATGTATATACTTAATTTTATGTTGTGTATGATATGTACACTTGTGTGTGCAGTAAAAGCTCATTTTCAATTATATTGCAGAATTTTCAATGGTCGCATAAATAACGAATTAAATAAAATTACTGTGAATAAAAAACAGTTTCTTGATTTCTTATTCTTAACATATAGAACTCGACAGCTTATGCTATGTTGTAGTATTGCACGACTTGTCTAAAACTGTCATCATCTTTAAACTTATGAAAACCGTTGAATCATCATCATTTCAATAAATAACTCAGAAATTGTCATTGTAAGCACTAAAAATGTCAAAAGATGTGATATGATATATTTCACATCTTATGGATATTGCTCACATAAACATAGGAAATCGATATCATTTCTGTTGAATAAAAATCTCAGGAAATTGAGAATAGAGCAATATCGATATTAATATAAATAAACATTTATACAAAGATGTGTCTTGATGTCAATAAAATCAAGAAGAAAGAAAAACCAAAACAAAATTGTCGAAAAAAAATCATTTTCATGAAAACATAAAAGCTATAAGGGGCCTTTCACTTATGACGTCCAGGAGGGTGGGGGGGGGGGGGGGTCAGCAAGAAAAGAACAATAGAAATTCCTGGAAATCCATTGTTCTTTTATGAAAAATGACCAATAAATTCGGACGTCATAAGTGAACGACCCCTAATGTAGAATGTCGATTAGAAAAGATTTCCCACATTCAAAAATAATTGAAGAGGATTTTTTTCCTTTTGACAAGTCAAGTAAGAAACTTAAATATTAAAGTGAGAGATGGGAAAAAAATCATTCAACATTTTTCTTTCATCCATCTTGCCTTTTTTATGCAAAACCTCGTTTTAGCTTGTTTCCATATTCCGACTGATGTTAGTACCTACAATTTCATGCTAGAGCTATGCGCATATCAATTTACATGGTACATATTTTGCATCATGAATAGCAGATGCAATGCAATGTCATGACAATGTAATGTTGCGAATTTCTATCGCATATAGGAAGCTTTCTCCTTACATGATTGTTGAAATGTACTTAACATTTTGGAGTGTGATAAGAAAAGCAGGAAAATTCTTGTAAGATGCAAGGTGGATTGCTTAAGATAAGAGAATATATTCACAAAAATTTCATAGCATCTACTTAAAAATTTATCTCATAGCACGAAATGGCATGACTAACTATACAGCAGCGTTGCATGAGTACTCATCTATCTAGGAATTAAAATTTTCCATCGTAATTTTTTATGCATCAAAAAGGTTCATTTACAGAAATTTTGCATAAAAATGAAATAATAAAAAATATAATCAAAATGATAATAATAATTTTAAAATGAAAGAATGTTCTCGTACCTCCATAAATATCAATCATTGATGGGTCGTTATCTTTTGCAATATACCGAAATTGTTACAATAGACAAAAGTTATTAGATATTTATTATTTATTTTATAAAGGTAATATAGTTTTTAAATTATTCTAGGAGATGCAAAGAGCCCTTTACTTTATGTTATATCTGAAATGCAAAATCATAAACATTATTTAATCATAAATTGCTATGTTCCATGCCATAGTTTTACTAGAACTCCTGTCGTATACAATTGCAAAATTGCATCACAAAAGAAAATTTTCTAGTAGATTCCTTTTTTGATTTGTAATAAGTTTGTTCCATTTTATTATGCTCATTACGATAAAAGTTATCATTATAGGAGTTACATGTAAGTGATGTCAACCAAAAATATGTTATTTGAAAACCCTTTTAAATTCATTTTTACTAAATTTTGATCGAGATCTATTTGTGCTTGACGTGTTATGCAAAGGAATCAATGAAATATGTTTTATTTTATGATGAAGTCATGCTTCATCATTCTTTGCAATTTTTCGAATTGAAAATGAGCATTGGAAAATACAGAATAAAATAGATAGAATTCAAATAGCTTGAAATGAGGAAATTCCATCTATGGTAACATCAAAAAGAAGCAATAAAAGAGCAATGCAGAAAATAAAACAAACGTACGTAAAAAGAACATTAAATGCCGCAAGTTTATTTCCGCGTTTTTTGAAACTCAATTTGAGATTAAAAAGTTAAATTTGAATTTTTGATGCTTTGAAAATTGTTTTGGGATGTTACGTATTCTCACTGAGAACGGAGATTATAATGTTTGAATTTATGACTTCTGATTTCTTAAAGTAATGGTTTTATTCTCAATTCTGTGAAAATTATTAAAATTTATTTGGGACTTTTATGTCGTCAGAACTTCAAATTATAAAACAATCAACTAGAAATAATTTTATTCAAATTTACTACCGTGAATTCTCAAAATTTCTTCATCCTTTAATTAAATATTCATGGCAAAATGTTTTCACGGATTTGCGCTTTAATTTATCAAGATTCAACAAACTCAATCGTAAAATTTGTGTGCTATTAAATCTTTTCAATAAAAGTATAACAATTCGCACGATTCCATAATAATCATAAAAATTCCATTGAATTGGAATCCGAAGGCTTCAAATTATGAATTAAATTTAGCTCAAAGTTTCACATCTTCCTAAAGCTATTCCTAATATATCATATTATTTTTAAATTAAAAATGCGCTAAAAATCATCAAAAAGGAAATTCAATTTAAAAAATATAAATTTTCTTCCTTCTTAACTGTCTTCAATGTTCTTTTGAAGAAACATTGGAAAGGAAAACTTTTCTTTTGGTTCTTCATATTTTTTTATTTCTCTTCATCATTCTCTTGTCTGCTTTCATACTCGACAGTAAAAGAAAAACAATTTTTTGAGAGAATTTAATTTCAGCAGCTTGAGGAATAAATAAATAGCATTTAAGAGCGTAAAACCATTTAAGTAAGAGGAGATGGAGATGGGAATGTCTACACATATATGTGTTAAAATTTCTACAAACCTCTCCAGCTTCCTTTGACTTCACATAAAATTGTCTGATTGTGTATGAGATATGCGTTGAGCGTCGTCAATGAAGGACTCTTTCGTAAAATTTCTTCATCATTCTTCCAAACGTATGTTATGGCTGATTGCTCATATGAAACTGCAAAGAATAGGGAAGATGAAAACTAGAGAAACAAATGATAATAAAATCATTCGAGAGTGTTTGTTATTATTTTTAGATTTCCATGTTTAAGAATGAATTTTTAAAGAGTTGGAAACATAGTTCTGATAATCTGTTGCTACTCGACTTCCTGATACTGGGGGTCCTCGATTTGAGTAGGTGTTTTGTTCCAGAAAAATCCTATTCAAATCGAGGACCCATAGTATCAACCCTGACATGGAGCAATGACACGAGAAGTTTTCAAACATTCCATTTCAAATATGTACAACAATTCAGTTCATTCTTCTCAGTCAGACCAGAAAAATAACTTACGGATATTCTTCTAAATAAGGAGGTTCTACATGTTTCCAACTCTTGCAGTAATTATCAGAAGTATTTTCATTTCTTCTTTACATGCTGCATAATTTCAAGGGGGAAGTAATAAAAATTACTGTTCACATTATATTACACCCAATATTAGATCTAATGAACTGATATATATGAAAATAAAGTTGTTTACTTACTACTCTCTAGTGCAAACGAACAGAGTGGATCATCAAATGGAAATATATTCAAGGATCCTTGACACGACAATATAAGATGCCGTCTGCACAGCACAAAAGTGTGAATGAAAAATAAAAAAAAAATATTATTTGGAGCACGTCCAAGAATATATTCAATTATCATAGTTGATGATTTACCTCATCAAATAATTGATTGTGCCATTGCGATAAATTCTTAAGGCGAAATGCATTGGTATGAGGGGATCCTTAAAATCACCATGCATTATGAAATACGTGTCGGGCAGCCAAATATCCTCATGATGATGTATTGCATTCAAATATTCGTATTGCGATTGATTTGCATATCTCAGTCTCGGATCGAACCATTGTTGTTGCAGCAAAAATTCAACTTCGTATTTCTAGAAAATGAGAAATAAGGATAAAGAATTTAAATTTATTTTAATGAATCTACAATGATGTTGCAGTTTTCTTTTACTTAATTGAAAACATGAAGTAGAACTTACTAAACTAGATTCATCTGGTGATGCTAAACTTAATAATAATACGCTAACGTTTACAGTTAAAGTTCCTGAAATTAATTTAACTTTGTTATTATAAAATCTCTCGACAAAAATTCCTTCGTAACGAATAGTAGACAAAAAAAATAAGAAAAAGAGGTAAATTAAATAAAAATTGGCAAAAGAAGTGACACAAGGAAGAGAAAAAGAGATAGAGATAGTAAAATTCATACATAGACAGAGGTTAAAAAGCCAATTAAATACTTTTTCAAGGAAGAAGAAATAAAATATCATAAAACTGCGTCGAGTGCATAATGAAATAAGTCATTTAATTTATGACCAATGATGCGAGAATCATCGAGAAAGTAATTTTTTTAAATGTGATGAAAATTTCAAGGATCAGTTGTCATTGCAGCAATTTTAATGAATTTTTAAATTATTATGTGAAAAAGATGATCACTAATGACCATGATCTTGCAGTCTTAATTTTGTTTCTACGAATACAGTAGTATTACTCATGCTGCATGAGGATAATCACAACAACTTTTTCTGATCTAAAAAAATTACGTTTTCGATAAATCTACAACTAAAATGCGAAATAGATATGAAAGAAATAAATATAAAAAGAAAATAGGAATTAGGAAGAATAAGAAGAATTAAAAAATCATTCATGACTTGAATGCGAAGTAGAAAATAAATTCTTTTGAGCTGAAAATTTCATTTTCAAAGTTGGAATGCTTGTGTGCATGTGAATCGTCATCATGAAAATGTAATTTATGTAGCTGAAGTGTGCAAAAATTTAGTCATTTATCACTTTATAAAGAAATGCATGTTGCATCCGATAAATATGGTGACTTAGAACTCTTATGCAAGTGCCATTTTGCAATGGAGAAAATGAGAACGAGAAAGATGGAGCAAAGATGAATGTCTTAGAGTTTAAAATTTGATTTTGCTTAAGCTTGCTACTGTGAATGAATAATAAATGAATGCAAAACTGCTTGCTTCTCTAAACATGATTTTCATTTTATGACAAATTGTCACAGGAGATGAAATTTTTATTCTTTCCTCACATCTTTTTTTTCTCCTTGAAAAAAAAAACAAAAGATGAAAAGTTGGGAATGACACTCAAGAAAGTTCGTTGCCACAATAATTTTATAATTAATGTTGTTGCTCCATTGCTCTTTGTCATTGGCAATATACAACCCCTTAAAAAATGTTGCTCGAAATTCCAACAAAAAACTTGCTCGTTCAAGTTTTTTCTTCAAAGTTATTTTAATGAATTTTTGTTCATTTTTAAATCTTGAGATTTGAAACTGCTTGTGGTTTATGACATTAACGTGAGCGTTTTTCTGTCTCAAAATTAAATATTTTATTACAGTACAAATTCATTAATTCTGCAAAATAAAATTCAGTTAAGACAACAGGGAAATTATTGTATCTTAATATAAACAAGATTTCAATTAGAAGTGTAGAGAGAGTTAATATGGAACATGTGACCCGAGTGAACAAAGAACTAGTTAAAAGCTTGTCATTGACTTGTCTGCATATTGATGGCTATTAAGTATCCTTTGCAACCAGACATAGGGACGAATAATGGCATATTTTGCACTTTCCATTTAACTGGACATAAATATTGCACACATGTCTAGTTAATGTCTAGGAACAAAAAAAAAACCCAAATAAATTACATGTCACGTGTCTTTTTCTCTATGTTTGTTACTTTTTTTTGAGATTTGAACACTTGATTAATCAATCAATCAAATGAATGTCTAGTTGAAGTCTAGTAAGCATCTGGTTCTGTATATCTTATAAATTTGGCAAGTTAAAAGGCTAGTAAATGACTGGCGTTGTCCACCCGGGGTAATTTGAGGTTATATTCGTCTTTTTTTTTGCTAATATTACCAACTAAGACAGCGATTCTCAAACAATGCTTTAAATTCAAACTCCTGTGTTGTTAAAACCTTTAAGTGTGTCTTGAAATCTTGAAATATTAAATTACATATGAAGGATAACAAACAAGAGATGAGTTCTTTAATTGTAGCTTTTTTAGAATAGTCATCATAATAAATCGATTTAAATGGAAGGTATTACAATTAAGTCACTCACACGATTACAAAAAATCCAAGCTTTACGCTTCCATTCAACATAAGTAAAGTTGGGTCTTTTTTGAATGATTTTTTTTATTCTTTATAAGAAAGAGGCAAAGTAAATCTTATATTTTTGAAAATATTACTCTTTTTCAATTTCTACTTTATTTTTTCAGTCATACATGATTGAACATTCATTGAAAATAATGAATAACACAAGCACTTAAACTTAATCTGGCGAAAAAAATACGTAAATATAAAGTCAATAAAGTGAGAGAGAAATAAATTTGAAGTACGAACTTGTGCAGTGCATGAGAAGAAAAGTAAAATAAAAAAGTTAAAGTAAAGAATAAAATTAAGACCAATTGAGCTGAGATCAAGAGAATGAAAAAGAGGGAAAGTTTAACAAAAAAAGTTTTGTGCCAATAACATTTCAACAACATCTATATCATTTATATCGTTCATCTGACTCTGATTTAGCAGGAAAAAAAACAGAAAGAAAAAAAATGTTGAGAGGTTTTGGAGAAAAAAACTTTATTTAATTGTAAGCAGTCCGGAATTTATCTTTCCCAAAAATAAGGAATCAGAATCATTGAACGATAAAAAATAAAAATGAAAGAAAAACAATGTGAAGAAGTTTTTAAAAATTTACGAAAAAATAATTTGGAATATTTTTAACGGACCACGACTATGTGAGCGACCAGGATATCCTTTAAAGGATGTCTGATTTGACACCATTTCTGTTGGTGATTTTAAATTACAGCAGAAGTCTGCATCTGTAAAAATATTTACATCGAGAAAAAAAAAATCGTTAGCATCATCAAAGCTCATAGTGATGACTCAAAGGTATTCAAAAATAAAAAAAAATTAGGAGAAAAAAAAGTTAAGATGCATCTTTTCATATTTCCTTTCTTTATTCTCCGAGAGTGAAATTATAATGCTTGTGTATATGTGTATATGTATAATATTGTGTTAATTCGTGTTTATGAACATTTTTTTTGTTGAAAATGCAAAATGACAGCAGTTGCTAATAAGCTTTGTTCGTATATGAAAGCTTGTTACAATTAATTTGTGTTATATGCAATGAGTTCATAAGTATTTAACTTCTTAAAAGGATTCTCATGTATTTACATTATTAATTGCATTTTCGAGAATCAAAATCATGACTTGGAACTGTGAAATCAAGGCGTGGAAACTCAGGATTAATCCTGAAAAATCCCAAAAATTCTAAAAAAAGCCCTGATGCATTTGACGAATAATTTCGGGATTTAAAAATGAATTCACATTTCCATGTTTATTGGCTCAGGAATTTTTTAAGGATTTATGGGATTTTTCAGGATTAATCTTGAGTTTCCACGCCTTGTGTGAAATAAATTGATTGTTGTCTATCAAATTTTTGAGCTTTAAGTTAGACTTCTTAGTTTCACAACAACATATCCCGCTTCGATTTTTTGGCTCATATAAAAATAAAGACAAAACCTTGAACTTCTGTGCATGTCACATCTTCTTTATATGTATGAACTAATTGATACAAATTGATTGAAAAAATCGAAAGAATGTTGAGTCGGAAGGTTACCGATTCACTCGTATTCTTAAAATATAACTAAAGTAAGTGAATAAAACATTCTATATGTTAGTGACATAATAATAAAAGAGTCACACTTTAGTGATCTTTTCTTATTTTATATGTGACATTTGTTATTTATGCTCTCCTTAATATGAATCATAATCAAAACCTGAAAATTTTACAAAACATGATTTAACTACCCTCTTAAATTCCATTCTCATCCTTTTGAATACTATTTTCGAATTCAAATGTGAGGAAATGTGTTTATGTGAATAGAATAATAAATGCAAATGATTTGCTCATTGAGTTGATGCTTACAAGTTCTTGTTGTCGATTATCCTTTATAATAGTGTAATTAAGTGAATGCAATAGTAACAAATGTAAGTACATATAAGGAATGATTTTATTTAAATGCCAAATTAGTATCTGTTCATATATCCTTAAGATACTCGATAGGTGAGCTTGAATTTTTCGTTTTTTGTATAAGGATATAGTCCTTAAGAACAAATAATGATTATTAAATTCCCGATTCTTGATAGCAAGAAAAACTAAAAGCTTTAATGATGTGACAAAATGTGTGAAATTCTCCGAATTTTCACAGGTATAAGATACCTTCTATCTTAATCACATCTGTTAAAGGGCTTTGAAAATCTCGAAGTAATGGATAATTTTACTTCCTTTTTGTACCTTCTTATATCTATTAATAAACAGAGAACAGTAAAAGGGAAGAATTTGTTTAACGACGATACTTTAGGTAATTGTACCCATATAATAAGAAGCCTTGAGGCTTCACTCTATGCTAATTTACGTTATAGTCTATATCTTGTTCGCTCAATTCTCATCCTTTATGTAACATCCTTCTCAGAAGTTAAGTGAGAAATGGAATGAAAAATTTATGCAAAAATTCAATTTGGCACTTATTAGTTCCTAAATTCCATTGTTGCCTTTATCTTTTCATACTATAGACATTTTTGCTAGATAAACATATTTATGGAAGTAAAGAAAGCAAAAAATCAATCACAAGATATTCGAGTGAATGCAAAATGTATCATGAGCTTCACGTCAGATAAAACTCAATCCAAAACATTTCATTCTGCATTGAAATATATAGAAAATATTAAATGGATTTTTTTCTTCTCTTTTTCCAACAATCTTTTAATTCTTAACATTTAAAAGAGGCAACAGGCTGTATTATGTATTATGAGTTGAATTTTATTCAAATTTAATTTTTGCTTATATGCTTATTGTATGATAAACAATCAATTGAAACTGTGACATCAAATAATTATTTAAATTCATAATGGACTACTCAAATTGGAATGTATGCATGTATCTGATGTGAATGGAATGAATATATTTCTTTGTGTTTTTAAAATCCTTTTTATTTCCTCTTGTTGAATCAAGAGATGAATAAAATTTCTTCTTTTTCAGTTGAAATCTTTTATGTGCTTTATTCTCAATGTGAATGTATTTTCTAGCTGAAGGAATTTCCACAAAGGAAATTTTTTCCCCCCTAAGTGTGTTTTTTTTATTTCGCTTGATAATCAAGAGTAAATTTAGAGTAAAAAGGAAGGATTAAGTATGTATTACATAATTAAATGAAGAAATCAAGAAGGTAAAAAAAGTCTTTATGCACGCAGAGGTTTGGAATGTAATGAGAAAAGGAAGAAAATGTGATTTGGATTACTGCTTTGTATTTAAATAAGTTGGATTTTTTGAATCCTTTAAAGTAATTTTGGGAATCAAAAGATAAAAGCTAAAATTTGAGTGTACGTCTTACCATCTGAGTCATCAACATTAATGAGAAAAGTTTAAGGCTTCATTAAGTTGAGCTAATTACTAAATTAACTGATATATGAGTCTCTAGTCAAAATGTTCCTAATTTTTGGCTTAAATCTTCGAGTTAATTATAAATAATTAGTCATTTCGAGTTGATGAAAGCAAAATTTCAGCATGTAAAAACGTCAATTAGGATTTGACAGAAAAATAAATAAATCAGATAAGAATCTTTAATCCCAACATGAAGATATGAACATCACAAAATTCTATAAAGCTCATTGAAAAGTTACATTAAGGATGATAAATAAAATTTTTAAGATTAAATGTTTGAGATGTAAAATGATTGCCTCAAAATTAACCAAGATTAATTCGTCCAAAAAGTTCATAAAAACTCTGAAAAATTCTTCTATTTCTTTCATCAACATGAAATAAAACGGAAAATAGATGCTTCAAATCTTAAAGTAAGCAGTAAAACAGGAAAGAAATTTCTGTTTAAATAAGTAAGATTTTCTCATAAAGATTGGGAAAAAGGTACGTAAACCGATGATTTCATATCATAAGAATAAAAACGAGAGCGTGAGCATGCAATGTGTAATTAACTTACCGAACACCGGCGGTAACAGTCGTTTATCGTATCTTGAGTTTTTTAATAGATGATCGAGAATTTCCTTATCGGATTTTCCATCGGAAAAACTATTGAAAATTTTATTTAATCGGAATATACGATTGATTAGTTTCCGCTCGTATTAATCCAAATAAAGTTCAATAACTTACACAGGATGCGATGCCGCTTCTGCTGATGTTGGTGTCGTAAGATAGCATAAAGCTAATATCACACTTGATGCTGCATATAAGCATATTGATTGCCTTACTATATAGTGACTACATGAAATATTTGAACTAGATGTGGTGTTAGTGGAGCCTGTGGCCTTTATTGATGGTGTTGTAGCAAGAGTACATTGCGCCCTTGCACTCGTCGATGACGTACGTATATTTTTTCGTAATGATTCTGTTCGTTGATCTTCCCTATAAGCTAAAGATGATGCTGATAATGATGATAATTCCTGTTCTTCATTTTCCCTATTATTATTGCGTCCTACGTGATCCTTACCATATTGATTAATCTTAATATCTTTAATTTTACTAATTTTTGAGATCTCATAACTATTTGTTTTCCCATCTTGCACTTGATTCTTAGTTTGATGTTTTAGTAATTTGGTTTTTAAATACCATTTAAATAAATGGATGATGCTCTTTGGATGCACTTTAGAGCGACTAGGAGAATTTATTAAATCTAATGCATTTTTATTTGTCACTTCATTTTCTAATGCGCTGCTTGGTTGACTGCATGTATAACCCATATTATCTGGAAAGAAAAAAAATAAGTCATCTATTAATGGGATTAAGAAACTACATAAAAATTGTTTGGATTATAAAATAAATTCAGCTTGAGCTTTACGTTTATTCATGACAAGATTTAATATCCATTAATGTTCAAACTATGTGGTACTTAGATTTAATGACATTTGACATCCATTCATCTAGTAAACTTGATAACATTTTTTTCTCTTGATTTTATTAGAGCAGCTTTATATTATTGCAAAGCATTTAGCTTGTAAACGTGAAGCGATAAAAAGAAAACTTGAAATTAAAAAAAAAAAGGCAGTAATTGCAATAAAATTGAGTTGAAAAACATAACAATGAGGGAAATCATCAACTTTTACAATGAAAAGCAATTTAATCAGTTAAAATAAAGCGGAGTGAATGGAGACTTCCATTGTTCGAGTAATTCAACTTTTTCTGCATGAAAAAAAGAAGAATAACAGCATTACTGAGTTGCCCCAAAGCCATCAGAGAAAATTAAAATCTCAAAAGATGTAAAAAGTTTGTGTGCAACTTTATTTTGCCTCGCTTGTTTGCTTATGCTGGGTTCAATTTTTCAAACTTTATTGTTATGAAAAATGAAATTAAATGTCCGTCAATAAAGCTTACAAATCAAAACATAATAATGATGTAAATTAATTTACATGAAAGGAGTTTTGGAAAGGACCTTTGAGAGAAAGTATTTATCTTGCTCATTTTGAATAAAGTTGAAGGAAAATGAACAGAATACAAAATTGTTTCCACACAAAAACGAGAGAATTTATTCTAATGAGATAGCGGTCGAAACCTTTTTTTCTGAGAGGTAATTACGCAAAATATGGTTAATAAATTTTTCGGTACAAAGCATTTCTGTTGATGTTCATTCCTTCCTCTATTTTCCTTGATGAAAATGGAAAATTATTTGAATATGAAAGGATCTTTTTTTAAAGGCTGGTCTACTTTTATCTATTTTTTTTTTGTGAACGAAACATTAATGAAAATTGCTATAGACTTAAATATAATATTGAAGTTCAAATTTTTTTTATGTAATTTTAAATATTTTTAAAAAAAATTTGAAACATGATCTTGAAATAATATTGTAAATCCTATTTAAGACTTTTGGGTTGCCTTTTTATTTAATATTTAAAAATATCAAGTTTTATGTATCAATAACTTGGTTATGTAGATATAACTAGGACAAGACTGAAATTTTTAATTTTTGCAGTACATCTGAAATTTTTTCTGACACCTTAGTATGTGGTACAATACTGATTATCTAAGATATTAAAATCAAATCAAGTTAAGATATCTTTAAAACCAATGAGATAAATCAATTATGTTCAACTGTTAATAATAGTATGAACAGTGAAACCAAACATACACGTTCATATGCAGCCACAGCAACAATTATGTAGGTAATAACCGAAAAACAGCGAAACCACATCAGAATTTTATGAAGATTATAAATTTATCCAAGAGCTTTAACTACTAATTTTTATTTATCCGAATCTACTTTATTGCAGTTTTAAGAAGCATCAGCAATAGCATGAAATAAAACATTTTTTGTGTGCTAAGCTACGCAATCATCTGTGAAAGTAATAAATTTTCATCTTATTCCAGCATGTGCATGGGAAAAGCCTCCGAGGATTTATTTATTTTTATGTTATGCCAAATGGATCTTTCATCAAAATTTATCATAACGCGAACTGCATTACCTCAATAAAAAAAAAGCAAGAAAATATGTACAAAATACATCAGTCCGAAAGAATATATCATATATATGACGAGAGAGAAAGAGATATACGACATAGTCCATACAAATTTTATTGCACAGCCATTGCCTTGAAGAGCTTTTCATTCATTTTTTATATTTATTATTTTATTTAACCAGAAAAATGAAGCTGATTTATTTTCACTGGATGAAAAATGACGAGCCAGAAAATTATTATTTTTATTGGACATCTTTATCCATTAAAATAATTTATTAAATTACTTCCGTGCATGTTTTAGGGAACGGCTTTTTTATGATGATAACGATAATAATGATTTTAAGGGATCACGACACAAAACATAAAACTTTCCGACAACTTATTTTGACATCCACGGACATGGACATGCTTAGAGACATTTACAAAAATATATTAAAACAGTTTTCTGCAAGTGTGGGAGTTTTTATGATTTATTCAGTTTTTTTTTTGTTTATATAAAGTGCTTACCCTGTTTTTTCGTTATAAGCTACTACTCGTTACTAAGCTACTAGCTTAGTAAAGTTTTTTTTAACTTGAAAATTTTTTGTACTCTTTACTAAGCTACTACCAAAAATAAAGTATAATTAATCTTTTTCAACTTTCTAAGTATCAGTTTCAATGCCTTATGACATTGTCAATGAAATAAAATCGAGAAGATAGCAAAATTTCTTTAATTAAGTTAAAAAATTCAAAATTTTCATTGAAGTTCAATTTCTTTACTAAGCTACTACTCGTTACTAAGCTACTAGTGAGCCAAAAAAATCACTTTTTTATTCTTCTAAGCTACTAGCTTATAACGAAAAAACAGGGTATTTATCAAACAAGAATATGGTCGTTTCTGTGCCTTGTCCGTTTAAATGGTATGATGGTTAAATTTTTATGAATCAACAATGAAGCAATAACCTTAAAATTACAGACATATTGCCAATTAAAATATCAAATTATATTTTGATTGTCTGTCAAGCTTAGATCCAATTCGGTCGACTGACTTTTAAAAAATTCTTTAGGACAGACTTAACAGGTTTCAAATTTCCATTCCATCTCCAAATCCACAAGGAAAACGAATAATTTTTTAATGCTTGTAGAAAAATATTCAGTTCCTTCTGACAGAGCATTAAAATTTCATTCGCTATACAAAGTCATGTTAAGTCATGACAGTGATCGATAATTTCTTTTTTCAGAAAATTATTCAACGATCGTAATGTATTTTTAGAAATGAGAGAATCTTAAACTATAGAAAATTGAAGATCAGTTCATTGATTATTGAATAGAGCAGTCACTATACAGATATGTACAAATCTCATGCGTATTAATAAATAACATATTTTTGTCTGATGTACAATTTATTTCATGTTCTCATTCCACTGATATTTTCATTCATCGATGACGAATAAAGCTTTTGTATGATGTTCCTTTATATCGTATCGTTCTATCGATTTTTCGACATTAATTTGTCGATTTTTTTATTCATTCGCTTTGAAAGCTTTTTTTTCATTCACCTGTTTCGATATGCTCGTTTACTTCAAATATATAAGTATTGAAGGCAGGAGAGAAATAAAAAAAAAATAGATTGGGAATGAAAAATAGAAAAGGATGAAAAGAAATTCTGTTGTTTCCATCTCTTGTGCATCATACGTTATGAATACCAAAATATGCATATTGAATGTACACAAAGGGGTTGCAAAAGTAGGAAGAACTTCTAGAAACAACATTTAGATAGTACAATGAAGGCAATGCTATAAAAAACGAATCGGAACGAGTGAATGTTGAATGATGGTATTGAATAAATTTATTTGAACATGTACATTGTAAAGTTTGAATTTTTTCTTGGCATAAGCTTTCAATTCACTCTTTGTTTTATTTTGCTTGCTCAATTTTTCCTCTTTCTCTATTCTCACTTCCTCTCTAGTTCTACTATGACCTGTGACAATCTATTTTTATAGCCTGAAAGTAACAATAAAGTCAATGTTACAATAATTTGAAAAAATAAATAAAATAAAATTAAATTTTTCTACTCTGTCTTTCTTGTCATTTATTCGAATCTGTTTTTATTGGATTAAAATGTAATACACAAGAGATGCTATATGAATGCTGTCGATAGATTAAAAAACTCTGTATCTGGTGTATTGTTATTGCAAGCAACTTGATTACTATTTACACTAGAGTGCAAAACTATTAATCATAAACTTAGTTTATAAAGCTGGATGATCTCTTGATTGAATTTTTATTTTTAGAAAATACTTTCTTGTCTTGAATGGAAAACGTTTTACGACACAGTTCATTGCAATTTCCAAACGGTTATTCGACATCCTTTTTTCAGTTTTCAAAATCTAACATCGTCTAGAGTATCAATGAACAAAAGTGTAAAATCAGTAAAAATCATTCTTAAACTATTTAACGTTAAGGGGCTGTTTCTTATTAACTTTTGAAGAGTTATAAGGAATAATGAAGTCTTAGCTTGTAAACTAAATTCTTGTTCAACAAATTTCCTTGAAACACGATTTTAACAATGAACGAATCTAACCACAACATTGCTATTTATTCTTAAATTGGCATACGAACTAAACCTAGAAATGATTCTGAACGTAATTAAATTGTAAATACAAACAAGCGAAATGCATTTGGTATGTGCTTTCATTTATCATCCGATTATGTGCTTAACGATTTCAATTTGTGTTTATTTTGTTCTTCTTCAAATTGAAACTTTTTTACTTTTAAGATAATTCCTTTAAAAAGAGATGTGAACTTGACACAATGTAGGATTTTGTGAATATGTCAATTAATTGAAAGATGTGTGGTGTAATTTGAAATTTAGAAATGATTGAAATACACTTTTCATGAGTTAAACTATTCTTGAACTCAGATATTTCATATTTGCATAAACATCAACATTATAATTAAGTTTATATCTGTTAAAAATGCAATAAATATTTTAATATTTACATTTAACAGGATTTACGCTTTAATAAAATAAAGGATGTGAATATTTATTTGAAATTTCATTTTTGAGTTATTATGGAAGTACCTATTTAATGAAAATTATGACAGCTGAAGTAATGATTTTCTGATTGAAAAGGAATTCAGATGTCAAATAAAGATCAAATCTTGCTCATAAAACGTAAATAGTGATTTTAAGTTGAATAATATAATGAAATTTTACAACAATTAAAAAGAAAATTTCAAGGTCATTTTAGCAAATTTTCTTTCAATACAAAACAAATTCAGATCTTTTTGTTTATAAAGATAAATTGATTGT